ATAATTATTCCCTAATAGACGCGGTAATAACTTTTACTGTCTATATCTGATAATAGTAATAAGGACTTGTAAGTACGATACTATTGTTAAGATTTCTACCAAAAGCACCCTTATAGCTTCACTCTGAGCCTTTTCCTTCGGCTGACTTTAAGGTCACTGACATTTTCCCTGAGGTGTATATATGGTAATGAGAGTGTTGGATAACGTCACGTAAAGGGAGCATACGGGTATAGTCTTTTTATTTATCGACAACAGCAATCCACATTCAGTAGCTCTTTCTGTATTGATAGAAAATCAAGGATATTTTGCGATTTCTTCTCAGGTCTGAGGTCTGAAATTTTTCGAATCATCATACCTAATTGACAGTCCTAGTATGCTGACTCTTTGACCTAACTGTTTCTTGGGAATACATGTACATTCTTACTTGTAACATATATTACCTTCGAGATTACCACTGGTGGATATATAAATAGTGAAAAGGGAAAATGCTGCATCAGGAACACAGTGAGATCCAGTCTGTAAAGGAGATTTTCTACCTACCCTGACACGAATGTATAAATGCTGACTGAGAGCTTAGCATAGGTCTGTCCAAGCCCATTCTTAACAGTTCATCTAAACGTGAGGTACAGAAACTGTACCTGTGTGTATACATGTGTGTATAAACGTATATGGCATATTATAGGATTTAGGATCTCGCAGTAGAATTATACCTGGGATCAACAGTTAGGTATAAGGTCTGAAGGTCTACAGGATCACTGTGACCTATGAGAGAGCACAATGCAGGCCCCAGACTCCAGAAAGACAGAGCTTGAGGAATGCCCACACTCTACCATGTGGTTAGTAACATACCTCTTTCTTTGGTTTGGTCCTTGCCTAATAAGAAAATTTGTTGTATAGATACTGCGACCTATGATAGTATAGGGTGGCGATAGCAAAACCTATGTGACAGTGGTTAAGACCTAGTATACAGCTTCCTTTTGCGTAATTCCTGGTGGGATGGTAAGGGAGAGGAAATACTAAATATATGGACTAAATTCATAAATCTTACAAGGACTGCCTCCTCCCACGACGAACTTTGCAAAGTCTTGCCCAACCC